CGCAACAGCAAAGTAATTACCAGACAGAACATCAGTATCCTTTTCCTATGTTTTCCTCCATTTGGAAATGATCACTACGTTGCTTTGCTTCTGTTTTTCTTGCATTTTCAATAATAGGCGGCCATTTACCAATGTCTTGATCTTCCACTCTTTCATGGTGTGAACAGATGTGTTCAGAATAAGCAATCAACCCTCTCTCTCATCGACTTGGAATATTTCTTGAGCTATTCATCTTCTAGCAATTCCGCTTCTTGCATTCTTACTTGATACGTTCCAAGCTTCGGATTTCTCGTATGGATCTCCGTTTTTAGCACCAGTCCAGCCGGCCATTGCTTGATCGCTGTTTTTCATGTGTAGGGGTCCGGTTTGTTCGTTGCAACGTTTATAGTCTAATTGCCACTTGGCGCGCGGCGTTTTTTCACCTCCCTCGGAGAACGATACTAATTCCGATAGAGGCTGGGAGCGAGGTTCCGTTTCATGGTCACCTTCGCGGCGAAAGGTGAAAAAGAGTACAGCGACAAAAAAGCGCCACCGAGCAAACGAACAAAGATTGATGCGCCCAAGAAACAGACAACAGTTTAAAATTGGACATTTTGTTCTTAAAACAAGGCAGTCAACGAGAATCGGGTACAATTAGCGAACGCGTTTCAATCTTCAGAACGAGTTCGCTCTGAACGACCCAGTTTTTATTAACTAATTTAAATTGATGGATGAACATAACCTAACGTAGCTAACGTGTAAGCTAACGTGCTACGCGCACTCATTACACAAAATGCGATTTGGGAACGTGATTCGATCCCGTTACCAGTGCGCCGTGCATTCGAATTTCATCAAAAAACGCATGGCTTTTTGAATCCGCATTAAACCTATTGCCAGCAAACAACCCAACTCTCCCTGTACCCAAGCTCTTTTCACTGCGGGGATCTTCCGGAACAGCTTGTCGCTGGTGGAACTAAGCTAATCTAAGTCAGGAACTTAAGCATGAAATCACACAAGCGTGATTGAGCTCATCGTTGTCCTCGAAAAGTACAAAATTGGCATGTAGGCGTTAAAACTAGAGCTGAAACTGAAGTAGGTTTCACAAAAGCATCATCCCTATCATTCCTTCGGCTTCGTCCATACATATTGTGACATGATTTCATCAGAAGGGAGAAAATTGCAGACTAAGTGGGGGTCATTTCAAGAAGCACGAGAACGCGATCACTTCATGAAATGTACCTCGTGATGTACTCCGAGCTATGACAGAAAGGAAATGAGGCAGTAATCGCTACGCTTTGATCCATCTCCTTTTGACGTGCTCCACGCATTGAGCTTCATCACCTCAACTGCAGAGGTTTTTGAATGAGATTTGGCCTGCAGTAACTTGTAGGTTTCTTGGTCTAGGTTAGGCCATGCACGAAATTGGGTTGCTGGTATCACTGAGCAATAGCGACAGTTGCAATTGTCGCTGTCCCACCCAGGTGTAATAACGGTAATCTGCAGGATCAACTGATTTACGAGTTAGTGTTCTGGCGTCTCGAGCAGTCTGGTACCGATTGAGAGATGAGAAATAGAAGGTTAAGAAGGGTAGGCTAAGCGAGGTCTGAGATCTGATCCCAGGCAACCTTGTTGAAGTAGCAGCGCCACTTACCACTATTCCAATTTAGCTGTCAAGAGGCAGTGTCTAGTGGATGACAGCTGTCAGCTGAATTGCTGCAGGTTGTTATGGATACATTTTTGGAGTTTGCGTCAACTTAGAAACCAAAGAGCAGGTGTAACAGCAGCGCGAGGTTAGTTGTGAGATTATGGTCGGTCTTAATATTTGTATCGAATCGTGTCTCAACCATGCGTCATCTGAAGTCGCGCCGCTTGCCGCGTTATGGAGCCATACATTGGCCTGTAAAGGTTCCATCCCACATGAACGCACAATCCATCTTCCCTTGATTCTGTAAAATCCTAAACTTTTCAGACAAACAATGCAAGTGCACCATTGAGCGGTGACGCAGGATTGGTTCATGGGCAAAACGGGTTATGTCGGGCAGCAATTGATCCAATATTCGTCCTATTGCTTGGCTAAATTGATCATCTCCATACACAGTTGAGTCCTGGGGTATTTACCCTATGTCGGCCAGGTGCATGTCCACTGCAGATTTCACAACGCAAGTGACGACGGCCTCCACAAAATGTAAATGTTTTCTGCCAATGAAATGATTAGCCTGTTGCAGTTGTATTCTATCATTGTCACTAATTACAACTATCATTTACCAACTATCAGCTATCACTATGAACCACTAGTTGTGAGATTTACTTGGAGACCATCGTCACTTGTGTTGTGGAGTCTGTAGAGCAGACTTCTCCAGCCGCCGGATGCAAAAGGTTCATAAATACAGCGGAAATGAGTGTAATCGACGCGTATCCTTCTATTTTATAAAGCGCTAACTTTGTGTGTCGGTTTGTATGTCTGTATGTGTGTATGTATGTATGTATGTATGTATGTCTGTCTGTCCGTCCGCAAAATGAAGTGAGTGAGAAGGAAGCTCATGGAATAAACAAGTAGCTCACAGGACTTGAGCTATCAATGTTTTGCAATGGCATGATTGTGATAACACCCCAACGGCTATATAAACACCTACTGAGCACACTTCCGGTCATTCCACATGGTGCTGCAGTGGCAGCTGGAGGGCAGTGGAGGAGGGGGGGGGGGTGTTTGGGGAGGGTAGGCGGAAAACCAATCCCCAACAGGCCTAGGGTGCAATTAGATTTTGATAAGTCATTTCAGGACGTAAAGCGTACGCATGGAAAGAAGGTCCCGGCGGTTGACGGGGGACGAACCTGGTAATAAAATAACTCACAATCTATCCCTTGTTCTAAGGTACCACTGAACTGCCACTGTTTCAATAAATTTCATTTGCACCCAAAGACAGCTGCACCCTCACGCAGTTTATACTGCAACAAGCTAACAGGGTTCTTGTTAAAGGAATCTTCCACGGACCATGGACCAGTGGGCGGGACCGGAAGTTTTTGTGACGAAATGCATGGTAGGTACGGATCCACGTGTCGAACAGGATTCACTTCAAACCTTCCCATGAACGTGGATCCGTACCTACCATGCATTTCGTCGCAAAACCACTTCCGGTCCCGCCCACTGGTCCATGGTCCGTGGAAGGCAGTTACCTTAATAGTTGCTGGAAGGCCAAAATTCCTACACAAAGCACATTAGTAGATTAAGCCCTTGTCTGATGGTTAAAAGCAGTTATCAAAAGTAAGTGCATTGACGGACTAATACAATTATGCTACACAGAGAGTTAGGCAAACATAAAGCGATTGATGAATGTGTAATAATTTACATCAAACCAGTGAATATTGAGATAATATTATGTACTCATAGAAAATGTCACTGTTGCAGATGTTATCATCAGGGCACGCAAAAACACAACACTGACATGAATGACCGAGGAAAAATGAATAGCATTTCGGTCGATTAATACAGTTCAGGACTGCAGGCATCCACATCGTTTGGTTATCGTGGTGAAAGTGTTGACCTGCATTAATGATCCCTTCTGCTATCGTCGTAGCAGCGATGGAGGCGAAACACAATAAAGCTTATGATTTTAAACCGTAATTATACTCATTAACTTTATTCTTGTTAGATGAGTCTCGATAGAAGTGAGTCGACATTGGTAGCACTTTAGAGCAAGATTTTCTAAACGCAAGGCATTGTGGTAGCACGTCTCGCTTCGCCCTGAGCTATACAAGTTTCGCCTAGAATTTGACTTGGATTATGGGCATCGAACACGG